GTCATTGCAATTGAGTTGTTATACTTTCAATTATGATTGTGGTGAAACGTACAACGTCACCTTGCTTTCCTTCCGTCAAGACACAAGAAATTTGTAGTTATTCCTGTTGCAGGTTCTGTTATGATTTTGTATGCTTGAGCTCTGTTCATGTCTTGTTGCTCAAGCATAGCAGATTGAGTTTGGTCAATCAAGCTTTTTCTCCGGACTAGGAATGAAAAAGGGAAGGGATCGATGAATCTCCAAGGCAAACTTTACTTTGAAACCACGAAAATAGAAAAAGAGTAATGTGCTACAAACCAAGCACTTCGATTTCTGCTAAGCAATCACTTATACGTAAACTATCTATTGCTTAACCCTGAAGCTAGCAGACAGGAAAGGATAGCAATCTCAAACCAAGTCAAGTTGTAATGTGTTGATTAAAGGGACGTTGTGGCTAAGTACATGGGGTTGGGGTCACGTGAATGTTGGAACCTTCATCACATTGAGGTAGAGTTAATGTCCCGAAATGAAAATGAAATTAGATTTGGAATTTTATTTTCTGGCAAGTGAACAGATGAGAATTCCCAGCATGATGAAGCTGGCAAAGTCCCTTGACTCTTGAGGTCCACTTTTGTTGCAGGCTCCCACCACACTCGTCCAAGAGCCCACTCCATCGTTGGCCTTTTGTCTGGGCTTATGGCATTGAGCTATATGGTCCAGTTCAACTGGGTCACCAAGATCCACCCCAGTTTAGATGGAAGTTTTAACGCCCAATATAATTATTTTTGTCCAATTACCTTCTTGACGGTAGACTCCGTCCTTTTTCTTTTTTTAATGTTTTGTTTAGAAAAAAAAGAAGAGAAAATCGTATCGTTTCATCTATAATTGAAAGTATAGTAACCCCAAATTCTTCCATCATCATTTATCAATACCTCAAGAATCCAATGTTGTGCCCATTTTAAGCACAGTAATTTAATTAATAGAATGTAAGCCTAGCTAGCAAAGTTCTTCTCTTTTCAAGTTTATTTAGAAGAAATTATGAGAGATAATCTTTTTTATAAGCTTAATTTAAAAATATCTTTTTTATAATTTTAATTATTTTTAATCAATATTTAGCATGACTTGACAACAATATCTTTAAACAATTTTAAAAAAATTAAAATGGTTTTAGTTTTTTCTATCCCGTTATTCAGATAAAAATTTTAAAATTAAATCTTAATTTTTCTTTCTGGTTAAATACTGTCTATATCGCCATCCAGAAATGAGAGCTAACATCAAACTCTTTCTTATTTTATTTTATTCTTTTAAATGATAGATTTTGAGGTCTTGAAGGGTAGTAAATAACGATTTTACTCTTCTATGGTGATTGTAGGTAACATGATGAATGTGGTAACTGGATGCTTTCTAGTGATAACTTGCTTCGAAACATGTGCTGCGATGGAAATGCCTGTGTTAATGAGTTGGATCAGATTGGTTAAGATAATGGGCTTTGAGAGAAAGAACAGCTAAAGTGTGTTTGGGATTGGGATGATTGTTAAGTATGTTTGCTGGGAATTTTAATTTTTTTTATGAGATTTTGAGTTGAAATTGTTCAAAAAATATTTTGTTAAAGGAATATATATTGTTTTTGTATAAAGGAAGTGAGTAAGACTCTCCCGACAGGGATATATTTTGTCTTACTTTAGAGAATTATGGAGTTTCGTAACTTATCTTTTATGAAATGTACAATTTTATGGTTTAGCAAAAAAAAAATGTGTTTTAGGTTCTTGAGTTTATTGGTTTATTCATAAAATTCCAAAGTTGAGGAGTTGATATTGATTAGACTGGTTTTTAAATATTACGAGATTAGTTTTTAGGCATTGCATGACTTAATCACTATGTGACTAGTTTTAAACATTACATGATTGGTTATAGGTATTGTGTGACTGGTTTTTATACATTGCATGATTGATTTTTAAGCAATGCCTAGGTCACACAATCCCTCACGCAATGCCTTACAATAAGTCATGTAATGCCATATCAATCAGTCACGTAACATCTAAAGTTAGTCCCGTAATGCTTAAAAATTAGTCACGCAATACTTAAAAAGCATCAAAGCTACTGAATTTAATTTAATAAGATAAACAACTTCAAACGATACACCATATTCTATTTAACAATATAATTAACGAATATGCTTATTTAACAAAAAATGTTTAAAATGTTTAAAGGTTTTTCTTCATATATCAAAAATTACTCCAAAATGCTTAAAAATGCTCAAAAGTTTTTTTTGACGTATCAAGAATTACTCCGAAATGCTCAAAATGCTTAAACGTTTTTCTTTCTGATGAAGAATACTCTGGAGATGAATAGTTTGACGAGAAAAACTTAAAGCATATGAGTCAGTTTGAGATGTAGACCTAAACATACTTGATCCGTTAATAAGTTTCAAGTTAAGGTGCAGAGCCAAATAAATATATCGATTTCATTAAGGGTAATTTTATATAAATTTTAATTCTCTTGACTAAAAACAGTTAAAATTATAAAAAAATCTATTGTCAAAAATACTTTAAACATGAGGTCTATTTAAAAAAAACTCAGTTTATTTATATAGCAATATGACGTAGTGATGCTTTCGTAAATCATAGTACTATGGAAAAAGAATAAAATGTGAAAAAGGCAATTATGGGTTGGTGGAGTGCTCAAATGGCACTATGAGACACTTACCTTTCCATTTGTAACGATTCAAGTTCCATTTGTAACAATTCAAGTTTAATAATTGGTTCAGTAACTTTTTTTATTTAAATCACGTTACTTTCAAAAGCTTAAGTTGAAATTGCTAATAGTGATAGATTTAGATTATTATAAGTCTTAATAATCATATTCACATTAGATGTGGGGTGTTTAGATATCATAATTTTACTTACTTAAATCTTTAATGTTATCATAAATGTCACACATCACATTAGACGTGAGATGTTTGAGTATCACATTATTAATTGAGTAATATTCTTAGTGTAGCTTTGCTTTATGCTTGGAAGAGTTGCCCCGCAATCGGAATATATATAAGCAGAGGAAAAGGATCTTTCTTTGTTACAAAAGTAACTGACCAAAGCCATTTAATTACACGTATGAATATTGATCAATTTTTTCTACTTTATGTTCAATTCAAGAGTTTCTTCAGGAATTCTAATTTGCTTCCAAGAACAAGACTAAACATAAAGGTCTGAAAAAAAATCAGAGTTTCTGGAATGAAGAGTTATAGTGAAGACAGAGACAAAAAAATCATAATTAACATTTCGCCTCGGACCAACAATTCTTAACCATGTTTGTTAGATGTCCGAAGGATTAGATGAAAGTTTTGCAGACATATATTTTGTCAAATATTCTTCGTTCTAGGTTGTAAAATAACTAATTACATAAGCACAATTTCTAAATTTAAACCCTGCACTTGGCATTGATACTTGAATTCCAATAAGGAGACCTTCGAAAAAGATGATGTTGAAATCACAGGAAAAGTGAAATGAGGTCCTTGTCATTGTTTTTTGTCACTTACTAACAGCAACCATCAAAGTTTCACACCCCCTTTAATTTCTTCTCTCTCTCTTCCCCTGACTTGGGATTTTTTATTATGAGGTTGTTTAACCAGATAATTTTTTATTAAGAAAAAGGTGGAATAAACGGGTTTTGCTACTGATGCCTTTATCTTTTCTTTTCTTTTTGTCCGAAGAAGCGACAAAATTCCTCAGGTGCAAGGACCCTTTTTTGACATCTGCCCACATTATATGTGTTGGCTGGCTTAGTCTCCCCTACGACGACTTAGACTTGAGCTGTTGCAGCCATTGCAGCCCCGTTCACTTAGCACAGCTTTCTTGAATTTGTTTTCATTGATGAACATTTCCTACTCGAATTTAAGGCAAAGATAATGCTTCATCCATGTATCCAATTTGGTATCGAATTTGAAGAATTACTTGATCATTGAAAAATTCTGGCATCAACAATTTGCGTATATAAGTTTTTAACTTACCATTTGCAAACTCCTTAACCATTTAATAGCTTTGCCTATTTGGATGTGTAGAACGAAAAGAAATGTCCCTATGCACTTTAGAAAAAGTGGGAGAGCAGAGTTCAGAAACGTTTCTGCCACATCAACTCCCTTTCCTATCTTATCATAAAAAATTAATGGCCTGATCTTTGTGGATCATTTCTTTAGAATGAGAAAGAAAAAAAAAAACCAATCAAATTGACAATTAATGAAAATAGCTGATTGAGCAATTTCTCTTTGGTGTCGGTGGGGGGCTTTTTTTTTTTCCTTTTTCTCTTCTTCCTACGAACTATGGAATGCCCCTGGCTCCACTAACCTTGGGAAGGAGGTTATTCTCAATCTTTATTTACTAAATAAATCAATCCGAGTTATCTTCTTTTGTTGTTTTGTTGCCAACATTTGCTTTTCCAACCTTTCTTTATGCAAAGTTATCTCTACCTTTACCTTGATTTATCCCGAGAGAACCACCCGCAACCAATTATTGCTATACAAAGTCATAAACTATATGCCCACGTACTTATCAAAGCAATGGTCTTGGCTTCGTGGAAGAATAACAACAATCACGTGGGAGGTAGTGTCATCCACAAAGAAGACTGAAAGTCTTAAAACTTAAAGGCAAAATAAAAGGAAAAAAGGGGTCTTAATTATTACCATTTGATTCATGCACTATACTTTTGGACAATATTTCCCCAAAATTGATGTAGAGATGAAAAATGTCTGCAACTTACTGCTACCCAAGTGTAACATGAAATTCTGCTCGCTTATATGTTAATTCAAATAGACAAGTATAGCCTTAATTACTTACATTACAATGTTGTGGTTGAACGTATTAGTCATAAACTCAAAATTAAATGGATTAGGATGACTAACTGTTTAAAGTCGTTTTCCTGAAGATAAAAGAAAAAGACAAATTATTTTACTAGTATTATTTTTCTGAAATGTGTGATATGCATATAGAATTTGAGCCCCAAAACCTTTGACTGAAAGTTGAAACATGAAAGGCTTCATTATAAGTAGTCATTCCTCCTGTGTTAGCTTTGTGCCACAATCCTCGGTACCTTTTGTTTCCAGAGGAACGCCTAGATAGCAAGCAAACCATGCTTCCACAAACACTCTTTTCCACTTTCCTTCTCCTGAATACATATTTCTTCCAATTTGCAATCGCCCAAACTTGCCCCCCTCCTCCAACATGCCCTCCACTCTCACCACCACCACGCCCTACTAGAACCGTTACCTATGTTCGTCCCCGTCCTCCGCTATACAATCCTTCACTTCGTCTCCTGCCTCGCCAACCAAATAGCAATCCAGGACCCCTAGCCAATAGAGCCAGGATTCTTTCCATTACCCAGGAACTGAAAAGAAACATTACCTATGACCCGCAAAACTACACCGGCACTTGGGTTGGCAACAATTACTGCCTCTTCAAAGGTTACATTTGTGACACTGTGCCTGACAGGAACATAACTGGACTAGCAGGTATTGATTTCAATGGCGCACGGTTTGGAGGTAACTTGAACTTTTATCGTTTCATTACAAATTTGCCTGACCTTGCTATATTCCATGCCAATTCAAACAATTTTAGCGGGGTCATCAACCAAGGCCTCAATGGGTTACGTTACTTCTATGAAATCGACTTGAGTAACAACAAATTCATGGGAGGATTCCCGTCCAACGTTCTTGGTGCCACAAACTTAACCTTTGTCGATCTTCGTTTCAATAAGTATCTGGGTCCTGTCCCTCGTAGTTTGTTCAATTTCGACACTGATGTTCTTTTCATTAACAACAATGTGTTTTCTCGAATAATCCCTCCCAATTTTGGCAACACACCAGCACTCTATCTCACCTTAGCAAACAACAACTTCACGGGTACCATCCCACGAAGCATAGGGGCTGCCTGGGAAACCATGACTGAGGTACTCTTCTTAGGCAACAAGTTATCCGGTTGCCTGCCTTTTGAAATTGGGTACTTAAACAGAACGACTGTGTTCGATGTTGGATCCAACCGGTTAACAGGTCCCATTCCGCAGTCATTCGGTTGCATGGCAAGGCTGCAGCTGCTTAACATGGCTCATAACAAATTCTACGGGCCAATACCAGAGGTTCTATGTAGGCTTCCAAGGGCATTCAATTTCACGCTGTCAAATAATTACTTCACCCAAGTAGGTCCACAATGCAGGAGACTAATCAGGTTAAGGAGGCTTAACGTGAATAGGAATTGCATAATGGGGCTTCCAAATCAAAGATCAACAGCTGACTGTGGAAGGTTCTTTGCAAGACCTAGGACCTGCGCAAGGGAGAGCACGTTCAGCGTCATTCCATGTAGGCTACCGGCGGCTTCATTGAGAACCCGAACCGTTTCTCAAGAAGATGAAGTTCCGCCAGCTCCACGAAGCTATAATGCGCTTGTGAAGCCGCCACATTAAAGAAATCTGGACAGTCCAAAGTCACTTTGGTGGGATGCATGTGCTTTGTTTGGACTCGGAATAAGATTCGTTAGTACGATAATGCTGGTACTTTATATATATGTTTGTACTTTGTATTAGTATGTATTAATTGATAGCATCTGGTTTGGAAATGTGGTTAATTTGAGGGAATTAAGATAGCAGGGAAACTGATCTTCTCTGTCATTGTCTTTGTTTTTCTTTCCCCCGTCTGTTGAAAGTGACGTTTGTAATTAACTAAAGGAGTTTGACGTTTCATGGATGTTGAAATGCAGTGCATTTCTTTTAAGTTTCGTGGTTACTGTTTCCCCAGACTTGTTATATATCAAGTGTGTGTCATCTTCCTGTAAGGCATTTCGAAAATTACAGTGTTAGTTGAGGGAGTAGGCCGATTTATGTGCCGAAGGTTTAATAAAAAAGGGGCCAATTTGATTCCCGGCTCCTTCCATTTGCGCCGACCGGGAACTGTTTTTTGGTGGGCTTAACGACGATGGACCTTCAGGATAATATGGGCTTTAAGTTTGGAAAATAATGCACATATTATACTTGATTCTTTCTGACTTTTTCCCGCTTTTCTTCCATTCGATCTCTCAACAAGAGATGCTTGGGCCATTTGCTTAAACCCTACCAGTTAATTGAACTTTAGAGCAACAACAACTTCACTCGCAAATTAAGTAACTCTTTAGTCTTTCATTTGTAAGTTCATTAATTGGGTGATGAATAAAGTGTTTGACATACAAATAGTATTGTGATTCAATTTAAAAGTGAGAACTTCACAATGAAAATCTGTACATAATTAAAGATCACAAGTGACTTGAGGGATATTTATGGTTTATAATTAGAGAAGCTATATCGGGATGCAAGGTCCTATCAAATTGGCTCATATATACCACTTTTGGAAACAATCCTTCCACTTCATATTGTTTTTGTAAAACGAACTATTCACTTCCAATATTCGATCCCGCATTGTTAAATTGGGATAGTGTGACATCTTTTCCTCTGACTGAGTGCCTATGATGATTCAATAGTGGGATCACTAGTAACTTAAATGCTGTAAACAGTTTTTCAGGGACTCCAATGAACAACACGCACCGATTTGTTGATTTCCCAATGATATTATGATTTAGTCTAGAAAGCAGTGAAAGCAAGGAAAAAATTTTCCTTCAACACAACTAAACTTTCATAGTTTCAAAGATGGAAGGGTTAGATAAGAGAACTTTTCTGTATAAGATGTTAGTGACAATGAATTAGAAAAGTTACAACATAACTCAATTTTCCTTCTTGTGAAACGTCCAACGAAAATTTTTTGGATAGACAAGTGTAGGGAGGAACATGAGACATGAAATGAAATTATGGTTTTTCAATTAGAAGGATAGAAAAGCATTTCTTTCAACTACTAGCCAGTTTAATAACTAGGTTAAAATCATACCAAAAAAACAAAAAAAGGAGTTCCCATTTAGTTGCTAAGGCAGAAAAAGGAAATCACCCACATGGGGAGAAGAGAGGAGTCATTGTCTTCCATTTACCTTTTTCTTTTCTCAGTATTATCTCCCACCCAGCGCACCGTTAAAAAAGATAGCCGAATTATGACGATGCTAGCTGGGAGACAATAATGCGGCAGCTGTCAAGACAAGTTTTCCATTGGAATCCACTATCCGGCTAAGCAACTTGAATGTTTGTAAGACCATATGACCAGGGGGGCTGGAATTCAATATGCAACAGGACCAAGATTAACGATTTCATGAGATTTAAGATTATGTACTTACTATAAATAAACTGTATATTGTCGTAATTAATCTTGTTCTTCTCAATTATCATCTGTCTTGTTCTTCTGGGTAAATTTTCTTTTAAAGAGTTCCGAGCTGTCTTACTTTTCTTTAGAGGTTAATGCAAGTTTAGTTTTACTGGGAAAAATGCCGAAAAGCGTTGCTTTGTGTTTACTGCCCCTCTCAATATGCTGATGAATGAGGTCAATCATACACAAGCATGCTTCTGAACAACTTTTCTTCTTCCTTGTCAAAACAGTGAAACGAAATTTCTTCTTTGTGGTCAGTATCAAGAAATGCACTTTAAGTGGATGGAAAGAACAATAGAAAATAAAAATAGACCCTAAGAATAGTTCCAGATGACTCTGAATGTGACAATCTCCACTTATTTTCTATAGCTAGCTTCTCTCTTGTTATTGTCAACCTTCACCTTAGGTGCGCACTTCTTAGTTATATGGTTGCATTTCCATCACAAAAAGGAAGCATATAGGTGTAACATAGCAACAATGTGCAGCATCTCCAACATCATTGTAGTTTCAACTCTGCACATCCTCTTAGCTTGTCTCCTTCTCCACACCACAGCTCAAGATTCCAGCAGAGACGCTCTTGAATTTACAATTGGTATCGGCAGTGGCAGCAAAGACAGCTACCTCAGCAAGGGCTGCAACGATGAACATCATACTCTTCCATTCAGACTCAATTGTCCACTGTCAAGAACCCTTATAACAACTCTGCCAGCACTTGCTTCGGAAAAGGAAGTTTTGGAGTTTGCTGACCAAAGGCTGGCTCTAGTGTACCCGGTAATCCAAAAATTTAAGTCTATAATCACCTCAGATCCGCTTGGCATCACCAAAACTTGGCTGGGTTCAGATGTATGCAGTTATAGAGGATTCTACTGTGATAATCCCCCTGATAACAAGTCTGCAATAGCTGTTGCTTCTATTGACTTCAATGGATTTCAGCTGGCTGCCCCTACATTAGATGGCTTTCTTGATAAGCTACCTGATATTGCCCTATTCCATGCGAATTCCAACAATTTTGGTGGTACTCTTTCGCCAAATATAGCCAAGCTTCGTTATCTCTATGAGCTTGATATAAGTAACAACCAATTTTCAGGCCCATTTCCAGCAGCTGTTCTAGACATGAGCGGTTTAACATTCTTGGACATTCGCTTCAACTTCTTTACAGGGTCAGTTCCTGTTCAAATATTTACTGAGAATCTTGATGCTCTCTTTATCAACAACAATAATTTCATGATTCAGCTGCCTGATAACATTGGCAGCACCCATATTCTTTGCCTCACCTTGGCCAACAACAAATTTAACGGTCCACTTCCAAGAAGCATTTTCAAAGCCTTTCCTTCTTTAGCCGAGGTTCTGCTCTTAAACGACCAGCTAACAGGTTGTATTCCTTATGAGATAGGTTTGCTAAAAGAGGCTGTAGTTTTTGATGCTGGCAACAATCAGTTGACTGGTCCTTTACCTTTCTCATTAGCTTGTTTGGAGAATTTGGAGCAGCTAAACCTTGCTGGTAACCTTCTGTTTGGAACGGTACCTGAGGTGCTCTGCGAACTTGGAAAATTGGTGAATTTATCATTGTCTGACAATTATTTTATACATGTTGGCCCCCTATGTAGGATTTTGATTGAGAGAAGAGTGCTTGATGTAAGGAACAATTGCATTCCTGGTCTTCCATTTCAGAGATCGATAGTGGAATGTGCAAATTTCTTCGCCCATCCAAGGTTCTGTCCTCGAATGTGGGCTCACACTTACATTCCTTGTAAGCCTTTTACCTATAGTTCTTCAATTCCTGAAATGGCTCCTTCACCTTAATCTTCTTACACTGCCCAAGCAAGGAAGCAGTGGTTTTTTATGTTTAAAATTGTGACTCTATCGTATGAATGCTTATGATGAATAGTTCTTTCATTTCTATATAATGAGAATATGAGATATGGTCTTGGTCAAAATTTATGAAACCTCAAGAATTCTATGATCATTCCGTTTGACAGGTTTTTCATCTCCTGTTTTCGTTTTTTAGTGGCCACTTGCTGAGGAAAGTTTTATGCAAGGAAAGATTAATAGTAAGTTCAACTTGGAAATTATGTAGATAGTTTACATACATTCATTTAAATGAGAAACGAAGCAATTGGTACTTGTATTGAAGACTCAAAAGTGAAAATCATCTGGGTTTAGAGTGAAAATATTGAGTGTCGTGAAAGATGTAACGCAGAAAACCTGGCTTCTAATTTGCTGGTACCATGACTAAGGTCCTAAACTGCCAGCATTCCAGTTTTTACCATCAACCGGTGGCCGCAGAATTATTGCATGATCCAGTTTTTACATTGTCGTGAAAGACGTTATTCCTCTGCAATTACCAAGAAAACAAGTATACTTTGCGACCTTGTATTATTGAGTAATCCAGCCAAATGTGTACACCGTACCATGAATCTTTAAAGCAGAGAAAACACTACGTGACATAATGGGTAATTGCCAATCACACAGAAAATTAGGTGCTTTTGAAAAGAGTACGGTCCCAGACTTTGTCCATTCAGGCATGGGAATAGGGCATATTTATACCTTCTTTCTGCTGCCATTCTGGAACCCGCTCGCCACTGCAAACTCACTTTTAATTTGTGTGCAAACTGACTCCCCTACATAACCAAGAACGTTTTGTTTAAGCCATAAATTTAGAGGAGAAGGGTGTAGACACAAGTCTCAACCAACCCACAGCATTGCAAGTTGCTAACGCAACTATGTGGTCCAGCTCAAAAAGTGCCCCATTAAACACTTAAAAAAACATGATTAATAAAGCATCATGAAAGATCAGGCAGCTTTGTCTCCGGTCACCGTCATTGGTTTAATTATGTTTCAAGTGTTAATGGAGTGCTGCTGACTCTCCAGTGGCTGTTTCCTTTGTTTCATGATTAAAATTAAGAATTATTCATTGGAGGCTGGTGCCAGGATTACCTCTCCCTCTCTTTTTCAGCTTTGCCAATAAGCTTATGTTGTTTGATCGGCCTTTCTTTTATCAAAAGTTATTGGTCATAGTTATCCAGACCATTGCCCACTTGCACCCACTTTTATTGGCCTTCCATCATACTTACATTATCTTCACATAGTTCTTCTTTAAATGTGATTAAATATAATATACCACTTTGTAGCTTTCCTTCTGTTTTTGATAAAGAATATGATAAACTTTTCAATAAGATTTTATTATTCCAAACAAGTTACATCAACAAAACGTATATATAAAAATAGCATAACGTAAATATACTTACTCATCATTTTCACTCATTTTATGAAATGAGATGACTGGTTGTCACAATTAAATAATAATAAAAAAGAGCTGGAGAAAGTAGCAAGTAGAAAGTTCTTGTCCCAAGCAAAATTGTGAGCTCATAGGGCTGAAAAACCTAGCCTGCATGAATGAATCGAGCAAATTTGTAGAGTGTGTCCCGCCTTGGCCATCCTCTTGGGTACAAAATAGACATCTTTTAACTCTTTTAGCCAACTTTGGCTACAAA